CTTCACCCGTGTTATAGCATGTATTAGAACATATTTCATTTCAGGTATCCCTGTTCCCCAATGTTCATCGCAGCACTCTTTACAATAGCCAAGAGTTGGAACCAGCCCAAATGTCCATCATCGGAGGAGTGGATACGGAAATTGTGGTATATCTACATGATGGAATACTACTCAGCTATAAAAAAGAATGAAATACTGCCATTTGCAACAACATGGATGGACCTTGAGAGAATTATATTAAGTGAAACAAGTCAGGCACAGAAAGAGAAATACCACATGTTCTCACTTATTGGTGGGAGATAAAAATAAATAAATAAATTCACACACACAAAAAAAATAACCGGGGGAGAAGAAGACATAACAACTACAATTCCTTGAAGTTGATACAACAAGCAAACAGAAAGGACATTGTTGGGTGGGAGGGAGGAGAGGGAGGAGGGAGGGAGGTTTCGGTGATGGGCCACAATAATCAACCACATTGTATATCGTCAAAATAAAAAATAAAATAAATAAAATAAAATAAAATAAAGATTCAATGCAGTTATCTCATGAGACATACTAAGGGATTAACTATGATTTTTGGGTGGTGAGAAAAGAATGTTTTTAACATCCATTTTCAGTATTTTTGCCCATTTTTCTGTTTTGTTTTGTATTTTGCCCATTTTTCTGTAATAAGCGTGTATCGCTTATGTAATAAGAAAAAAGATTAACTCATTTCTCTGGGAAACCTTCCCAGACCACCACCTTGGTGGAATTAGTCTTTTTATCTTTCTTTGCTCTTGAGGCTCTGTTACCTCCATTACACTCAATTCTGTGATTATTTTCTTCCTAGTCTGTCTACCCCGTTGGACTTCTCACTCTTCCAGGATGGGGTTCATCCCTGATTCATCTCCATGTCCCCTGTTCCTAGCACAGCTCTAATGCAGAAGCCGTCTATAACAGCTGAATGGAGGAAGGAAGGAAATAAGGAATGACAAATGTCTAGGTCCTGCCACTCTGACAGTGCTTTCTTAAAAAAAAAAAAAAAGATGACCGGTAAGGGGATCTTCACCCTTGACTTGGTGTTGTCAGCACCACACTCTCCCAAGTGAGCTAACCAGCCATCCCTATACAGGGATCCGAACCGTGGCCTTGGTGTTATCAGCACTGCACTCTCCCAAGTGAGCCACGGCGAGCCCTTGATGGTGCTTTCTTAGATGTGATGGAAAGCTCAGCTATAAGAAGAACAATTTCTCTTTTTACGGGAGAGGCAGCTCTGCTAGATAAGCTGATTGTGCTGAGAGGCGAGGCCAGATGGGGAGACCAAGCAGGGGAATTCATTTCCTCCTAGATATTAAAGATGTTATCTGGCAGGCATGTGGCTGCCAGGAAAATCAGCGGTGGTGGTTCTGGAAGGAGCTGTCTATCTTCTGCTGCATCTGCAGTCCGGTTTTGAAATGCAATAAAGCCCTGACAGCCTGAGATATGCACTGCCCTCCTGTCTCCTTCCCACCCCCTCCATAGCCCAGGCTGAGAGAGGTGAGCACAGCAGACCCCAAGCTCCTGTCCTCCCCTCTGTTCAGAACATCTGCTTCATCTACCTGGCTCTTCCAAGACAGGTGACAAGACAAATGCCTTGGGATGGTGGCCTTACCCCTTGTGTCTAAACTCTAAGGTTCTTGACATTTAAAAAAATTTTCTTTCACGGGTTTGGATCTCCGCATCTGCCAGCCACCAAAAAAAAAAAAAAAGATTTGCTTTTTCACTCAGCATTTTCATTGCTAGTTTCCATTGTATGTATCTACCAGAAACTTTTTTTTTTTTTTTTAAAGATGACCGGTAAGGGGATCTTAACCCTTGACTTGGTGTTGTCAGCACCACGCTCACCCAGTGAGCAAACCGGCCATCCCTATATGGGATCCCAACCCAGGGCCTTGGTGTTATCAGCACCTCACTCTCCCGAGTGAGCCACAGGCCGGCCCTACCAGAAACTTTTAATGTTGTCCTTTTGATGGATATAAGGGTTGTTTCCCGTTTTTTGTTAATTACAATGCGGCTATGAACATTCTTGTGCATGTATCTCGATGTGTGTGAGTTTAACTGAGGGTTATTTAGGAGAGGTTTGGCTGCCTCATAAAGTATGCACCTTAGATTGTATCAGTCACACCAATTTGCAACCCCAACAGTAGTGTGTCAGTTGTTAGACATTTTCACTAACACTTAGTATTTACAGATTTTTAAATTTTAATTTATTTTGATAATCTGCAAAGCAGTATCTTATTTATTTATGTAGTTTGTTTGCATTTCCGGGATTTCTAATGATACTGAGCATCTTGTTATATATCTTTATTGGTCATTTCCATATTCTCTTGTGAAGTGCCTATTCAAGTCAGTTGCCCATATTTTTTCTATTGGTTTATCTTTTTCTCGCTGATTTGTAGGAGTTCTTTTTAGGTCCTAGGCATTAATTCTTTGTCAATTTTAAGGAATCCTTTGTTAAGGATTAGATAAAACAAGAATGTGTTTTATCTCCCTAGCTAAACTGTTAGTCTAGAGGGTAGAAGGTAGGGACTACAGAATAATTAGACCAGTTAAGGATCCAACTTTCTACTTCCCTTATAGCTCTCTCCACGTCTGTCAAAGTGCTGGAGGCACAGAACATGCCTTATCAGTGCCCTCTGAAGGAAGTAACGATTTTTCCAGGGTCCGAGAGGAAAAGTTACAGGTTGGTTCTCCAAAAAAACAAAACAAAACCAATCACAACAAGGCAGATAAAGAACTGTCAGATTTTGATACATCCGGATGAGGGCTTGGACGCGTAACTGTTAACTCGCCGCCCTCTCGTTGGTAGCTGCAGCGGGGAAGTAGTTGTCATTTCCCCCGGTGAGGCCTCGTGACCCCCTGCGCGTGCGCCGCGACTCTCCAGCAGAGCTCGAAGCCCCCCGAGGGGAGGGCCAGATTCTGTCTCTTTAGTCTCTCCAGACCTGGCACTCAACCGAGCGAGAAGTTCCTTTACAGATGTACCCGTAGGGCCACAGAGACGCAGGCGCCCGCCGCCGTACTGGGAACGAGAGCCCGGGAAGCGGGAAATGCGCCGCGCGCCGGGGCGGGATTTTAGCTGTAGCGTTCGAGGCTGGCCACGAGCCTCCCGCCCCTGTGTCCCGAGCGCTTAAGGGATCTCTGGAGAACGCGTCTTGGCGAGGAGTGGATCAGCTAAAGCTAAAGCTGCAGAAGCGTCCCTAGGCGGGTGGGCTAGAGAGGCCTCGGCGAGGTCGCCGTCGGCTGGCTGCTGTTTCACAGGGACGGGGCGGAACCAGCAGGACTTTGGCGCCTGTACCTGCAGGTGTTGCAGGAAAAGGGCACAGGGTCAACACGAGCGCGTGGCGGCACGGCAGCCGCAGCCAGCCCAGTCCGCCGGGCCACCCCCTCCTCCCCACGGCTGAACCACCAGCCGAAGCCGCGGAACGGACCCGGGGTTCAAGTCCACGGCGCGGAGGGGAGGGGGGCGGGCGCGTCACGGCCGCCCGCTCCCTATTGGCCGGCTGCGGCGGTCACGGGCCGGGCGCCCCGGGATTGGCGCCGTCAGTGGCCGGAGCCGGAGTAACGGGACTCAGAGCCGCAGGTCGCAGTCCCGACGCGAGAGGGGCGGGCGTCGGCGCGGAGCCCAGAGCCGTGCGTGGGAGCCTGGCCGCGACGCTCTCACCATGCCCTACGTGCTCATCAGCACCCAGATCCGCATGGTGAGTACCGGCCGCCGGGGCACACGGAGCCTGGCCAGGCCCGAAAGGACTGAGGCCGCGGCTTCAAGCCTCCCTCCTAGGCAGCACCCACCGCGGGCTGGACCCGGAAACTCCCGGACAAGCCCGCTCGGGCGCGGAGAGGGAGCTGGGCAAGCGGGCTCAGCCCAGCTCCCGGGACTCGGGGAGCTCTTGCCGGTCCGGAGCCTCCCTGGCAGCGAAGGGAGCCGGGTGCGTGCGTCCCCGCGACAGGGCGACCTCCGGGCGCTTCTGGCTCCTGCCCTACCTGTCCGCGGGAGGGACCTAGGGAGCCCTGTCCTCACACGTGCAGCACCCAGTGCCCTCCCTGCACGGAACCACTTCGCAGAGAAAAAGTGGAATAACCTGAGGGAAAGAGGTTTGGAAGAGAAAAGGACGTACTCAGGCGCTGAAGCCCCTGTGCCAAGTTCCTGGCCCATACGCAGCCACTCGCTGCACCCTCAGGCCCTTCTAGGAAGGGCTAGCCCTGAAGCTTTAGGAAAGGAAGAGAAGAAAGAATTCCCTGCTTGTGAAAAAAGGAAGGGGAGACGGGACTGAGGGGTTAGAGGTGTGGAGAACGCCGCGCGAGTCAGACGTCATGTCCCTTTCTCTGGGCGCAGTTTCCTTGTCTGTAAAAAAAAAAAAGGTGCTGGTCGCTCCAGGAGCCCCCTTTTAGCTGCTGAATGATGTGACTGCCCACCCCCACCCCCGTCCCCACCCAGCTGGGCAGCAGGGAGCTTCTCTCCCCCTTCCTAGTCACCAGTGCTCCGGTGATCCAGCAGAGGGTACACAGCTCCCTTGGGATGAAGGAAATGGGGGGATGGGAGGGGGGCAATGGGGGAGGGACGAGTCACAGTGTGGCAAGAGAGGTCTTGGCAGTGCCCTGGGGTGGTGGTTTGAGAACCAGTCACCTGTGCAGTTGTTAAAATTTGGGTTCACAGCCAGTCACCAAAAAATAATAAAATGTGGATTCCTGTACCCTTCCTAGATCTCCTGGAACTCTCTCTGTCTGGGGCTTGGGAATCCATACTTGGAAATGTCCTCCCCACGTGATTCTTCTTTTTTAAAAAAATACTGTCACTAATACACATACCGTAGAATTCACCAATTTAAAGGGTAAAATTCAATGTTTTTTTTAGTATATTCAAAGTTGTGCAACCATCACCATAATCAATTTGAGAACATTTCCAACACTCCAAGAAGAAACTCTGTACCCACTAGCAGTTGCTCCTCATTTCCAAGTCCCTCAGCACTAGGTATCCACTAATCTGCTTTGTCACATTTGTGTTCTTCGCTGTCTGGCTTTCACTTACGAAATGTTTCCATGTTTCACTCATTTGTAGCATGTATCACTATTTCATTCCTTGTTATTGCCAAATGAGATTCCACTCTATGGCTATACTACATTTTATTTATCCATTCATCAGTTGACAAACATTTAGGTTGTTTCTACCTTCTGGCTATTGTAATGCTGCTATGCACATTCCTGTACAAGTTTTTCATTTCTCTTGTTCTCCAGGTGATTCTGATACACACAAATGTGGGTTGCGGTGCCTGGTATGCAGGTGCTAATAGTCATGCAATGCCCAGCTCAGCTTAGAGATGCTAGAGAGGCCCCACACTGCTCATCCCAACCATTGACAGGCTCCACCCCTTCCCAGCATGTGCTCAGCCTCACCAAGCCTCACCACCCCTCCAGCCTTTACTTGAAGCTCGCACAGGGCCTGCTGGCGGGGGAGGAAGGAGAGGCAAGACCTTCCACGTCTACCAGGCCAAGCAGCCAGCCAAGCAGCCACTGTGGCTTATCTTGCAGGAGGTGGGCCCCACCATGGTGGGCGATGAGCACTCAGATCCGGAGCTGATGGAGCATCTGGGGGCTGCAAAGAGAAGTGTCCTGGGAAACAACTTGTAAGTAGTGGCATCCCTCAGTATCTTCTCCCTGCCAGCCCCTAGGCCTCCCCCATTCCCTTTATTCAACCAGCAGGCCCAGGGACAATGCCCAGTCTGAGTCCCCCACCTGCATCCTGGGGCTCTGTCCTCTAAAGAGGTTGGCTCTGTCTGCTCCCTCCCCTCAGTGGAGCCCCAGGACTGTCTATTCCCAGGGTCCAGGACTCTGTAAGTGGACTGTTCCTTTCCCTGCCCTCTGAACTCCACGCTGGACCCCATCAAGCAAAGACAGGCACAGAGAGAAAGGTTTCAGTCTTGAAGAGCTGGCTGAGGACCAAAGCTAAACCCTAGCAACAGGGAGTAGGGATCCTGCCTGGGGACTTGGCCACTTCCCTTGGCACCATTTATACCAGCTCCGTGTATAAACTGTGACCACTGCTTCCTTCTCTGTAGGCAGGGAGAACCCTGGCTACACCACTCAGGACTCCTGAGAAGAGCTGCCAGAGTGAGTCCCAGTTCAAAGGGGAGAAAGAGAAGGCGAGCTGATCCCAGCCCCTCAGATCAGGGTTGGAGGCAGAAACCAATCCCACCCTTTTGGGTCAAGATGTCCAGGATTTGCCTCAAGATGTCCAGCTTGGGGCTTGAGCCCTTTATCTGCTTAATGGGGGTGAAGGAAGTGAAGCAAGCATTTTGCAGGCTAGAAGGGGCACACAGAGCCAGGAGCTATTAGGGGCCAACCTTGTTGCTCCAGGACTGCAGGATAGCTGTAGCAGCAAGCAGGCCCTGAGGCCCGGGTAAAGAGCAAGTCTCAGGGAGTGCTTGGGATAGGCGTGGCTGTTGTCAGACCAACATGGGGTCTGTTCTCTGTGTGATATTGGAAAGCCTACTTAACCCCTCTCCATTTTCTCACATGTATGTGGGAACAATCATGGTACCATCATTAGATTGTTGGGAGGCCTAAGAGCGCATGTGAAGTACTTACAGGGCAGGGGGCAGGGAATGTGCACTGGGCCTGGCACCCAGGAAGGCCTAACAAATGTCAGTCACTATTATAAGCGTTCCTGACCAGGCCTAGCCTTCAGCAGATGCTAGCTTTGGACAAGGAGCTTGCTCTGCACACACTCTCACGCTGCCCACCTTGATCTCTTTGCAGTTCTGAGTACTACGTCAGTGACCCTCCTCGCATAGTCCTGGACAAGCTGGAACGAAGGGGCTTCCGTGTGTTGAGCATGACAGGGGTGGGCCAGACACTGGTGTGGTGCCTCCACAAGGAGTGAACTTCCCACACCGATCTGAGGATGGGACACCCTTCTTTGGAGAGGCTGCCATGGGCCCCGACCCCCAAGCCCCTACGTCACTGACTGCCCTGCCTTTCCCAAATCATCAGTTTCCCAGGCCTAGCACCAACAGGCAGTGAACGGCCTTCTCTGAAGCACTGCCTCAGTCAGTGAGGGAGGAGAGGGCCCCTTGCCCTGGAGCTCCCACCTGCCCTCCAGCTTCAGGCCCAACCCAGGGCCTTGGAGTAGGCCACGTCCTGTGGGCAGGCTGCCCTGGCCCAGAGCTGGGCACCCCAGTGGAAGATGGCCCCTGGCCCTGGGTGGGTGGTTCCTGTGTAGCTAGTCCAAGCCAATAAAGGGCTGTGATGAGTAGCTGCTCCTCTGCTGTGCTTCTGCACCAACTGTCACTACGCGGAGCCTTTCCCTGGGGGTCTGGCCACTCCCAGGAGGGAGCCCCAGGCCTGGGTGGAGCCCTCTGAGGCAGAGCCCAGCACTCTACACCTATGTTTGGAATAGAGGTAGACTCTTAAAAAAAAAAAAAAGTTTATTAGTGATGTTTAAGAAAAGAGCTGTCGAGGGGAGAGCTGGGCCGGGGCTATGTGGGCTGCCCCTCCTCGTCCTCCTGTAGCATCTGGGCCATCAGCTGTTGTCGCTCAGCTGCCTGGCGCATGCGCATCATGACGAGGCTCTCGTAGTCCCTCTCCGATAGCACTGAGCCCTAAAGGACAGAGAGGAGAGGAGGGTTCAGGGGCAGCAAGGCACAGCCCACAGACTTCAGACTCAGAGGATAGGGCCTAGGCAGAACTGCAGCCTAAGAGCCAAATAAGGAGCAGGGCAGAGGAAGGGAAGGACCCTGGAACATCCCGGAATCCCCACTTATTCACATTTCTTCAGAGCAAGCAGGCCTTTGGCCTCCCCCTCAGCCCATTCCAACCAGTTATCTCCCTCTACCTTGCTTTACCCAGGCCCTTCCCACCTACAGTCAGCCCCAGTTCATCTTTTTCATGTGAACCACTTACCCATGCTCTAGCCAGGCCCTCGTCTCCCTTTATTTCCTCTCAGCCTTTTATCTGACACTCCTTCCCTGCGCCCCATGGCTCCTGCCTCTCACAGTTTGTCTGAGATACAGCAATCCCCTCAGCTCTGCTGGGCACAGACGACAGCACTGCCCCTCCCAGCTGGCTGGCTTCCCTGTGGTCTGGCTCCTGCTGAGGATGCAGAAGGGAGCCCTACCCTCAACACAGCCTCAAAAAGCCCCACCCTAGAAGGGGAGAGAAGTGGGCGTGAGGCCAGCTTGCCTCCTAAAAATACACACCAGGGTTCCTGGCTGGCAGCGCCCGTGATGCTTTCTTTTGTGATCTTGCCAGCACAGTGCAGGGGATTAAGGGGTGCTATATTTTAATAATCAAAAGAATAGCAAACAGCCACCTCAGTGGGCCAAGGCTATGGGGTGGAGAAGCAGCTCTACAGCAGAGCCCCGAGCTACCAAACTCACACCCTGATAAGGTCTGTAGGGGGAATTAAGTCACTTCCTCCCTCACTGCAGCTGAAGCTATGTGATGATCCTATGGTCCCAACAGCTTCTCAGAGAAGTGTGAAGCCCATTTGAGTTAGCACAGAAGTGACCCAGGGTAGTGTTGCAAGATGCAGTGGTCCACAGCAGAGAGAGCTGTTAAGCCCTGTTCCATAGTACACCGCGCTGGTGCACTCTCGTGAAACCAGCCTGGAGGAAAGTGTGGTGGTCAGTGACCCGGGGAATAAGAAGGGAGTAGCTGGGGTTAAGATGCCAGGCCCTGGCTAACTGGTTTGGAGTAAGGGGTGTACAGAAACCAAAAGCGTTACTCAGCCCAGATTCCCCCTGCTCCTCCCAACAGTTCCACCCCTCCTCTCTCCCTGGCTGCAGAATCTCCTAAGACAGTTGCCCTCCCAGCCAGGCCCACCCACTGAGCTTGGCCCAGACAATTCATGGCAGCCCCACGTGGCCCAGCCCCCTCCACAGAAGAGGGACCCCAAATGAGGCCCAGCAGCCATAGGGGAAGGATAGAGCACAGTGAGGTGGGAGGCAGCAGGACCCTGGCCCTCAACTGCTCTCCTGCCAGGAGGCCATCTAGGTAAAGCGAGGAAGGACAAGGAAACTGAGTAGCCAGACTGGATGTCAGGCCAAGGGGAGGGCAGTTCTCCCCGCCCAAGTTAATTTTGCTCTGCGAAGAAAATTCAGAGTCACCCTGGCATGCCCTGAGTCCAACCCTAGGAGGAGCCAGGCCCTTTATAGGCATGGGGCTACTCCCCGTTAACACCCCCTTTGCCTCCCTCCCTGGATTCCTGCAGGCTCTGCTAATGAGGGCCTGTCACCCAGCACCAGGGCTGAGTCACCCACACCAGCGACAGATCTCTTCCTTCCCCAACAATTGTTCCACACGCCTGCCTTTCAATTAACTCCCACCCTCCCTGAGCTCCTCCCACCCAGATACACAGGGACTAGGGTGCTGGGCCTGCCTGCTGGGGCCCAGGGTAGTGGGGCTGTGATGAGAAAGGAAGCAGCACGGTGACACATAAAGCAGTGCTGTCCCCAGACAAGTCCCCAGAGGAATCTTAAGCTCCCCATTGCCCTGGGGTGTTGGTCACAGCTGCCCCAATCCCTGCGTGCAGATGCTGCAATTACCTAAGAGCGTGAAACACAGCTTCCCACCTGACTGAGTCAGCTGAAATCAAAACACATCTCTACCACCACACACGGCCACACACCGCCAGGCACTAATCAGAGGCCAGGAGCTGCCGGCAAGACGGCCCGGCCTTTACTGCCCCAAAGGCGGGCACAGGGGCCAGGAAGCACCAGAGACGGTCCACCTGCCTCCTGCCTGTGGAAGGAGCCCTCAGCTGCTCGGAGCCCTCAACAGCTCTCGCCCGGCCAAAAAAGACCCATCTCTGCTGCCACTGGGGCTGTCCTCTCTCCAACTCCAGTAAGTGCTGCTGCTTCCTCTTGGGGTTTTTTCCACTGCCCTATCAAGTAACCAGGCTGCTGCTATCCTTGTGAGGCTGCTCTCGCCCAGCCAGAAAAGACCCATCTCTGCTGCCACTGGGGCTGTCCTCTCTCCAACTCCAGTAAGTGCTGCTTCTTCCTCTTGGGGTTTTTTCCACTGCCCTATCAAGTAACCAGGCTGCTGCTATCCTTGTGAGAAACTCCTGCCACGAAGGATTCCAGCTCTCTGCTCTCCTGGACAAAAAAGCACCCTCTTGCCGGGCCTTGTCTCACCATCCAGGATGGCAGCCAAAGGTCTGTGCTGGACCCCCAGGCTGTCTCCCTGATTCTTGGCACTCACTGCTCCAGCAGGGACCAAATGCTCACGAGCTGCTCCTGAATGCCTCTCTGCTGGGCTTCTGAGGCCCGTCTGCGGCTCCCCTGTGCCCCATGGAGACCTGGCGGAAAGGCTCCTTCCGCAACACTTCCTTCTTCAAGCGCCTGAGCCTGGGGCGGCCGCGACGGCTCCGGCGACAGGGCAGCGTGCTTAGCCAGGCCAGCACGGCTGGTGGTGACCATGAGGAGTACAGCAACCGAGAAGTCATCCGGGAGCTGCGAGGGAGGCCAGATGGCCGGCGCCTGCCACTCTGGGGGGACGAGCAGCCCCGGACCACACTGCTGGCCCCCCCGAAGCCCCCGCGCCTCTACCGAGAGAGCTCCAGCTGCCCCAACATCCTGGAGCCCACACCTGCCTACACTGCTGCCTACTCAGCCACCCTGCCCTCGGCGCTCTCCCTGGGGGGCGCCCTCCCCCAATATTCAGAGGAGGACCTTTTGGACACTCGCTCCTTCCAGAGGATACCTGCTCCTGACCTCAATGATCCCTTCTTCTCCTTCAAAGTGGACCTGGGGATTTCACTTCTTGAGGAAGTTCTACAGATACTGAGGGAACAATTTCCCAGTGAGCCCAGCTTCTGAATGGGATGAGGGTGGGCAAAGCTGGGGTGACTGGAAGAGCTAGAGCCTGGTGACCCAGGGAAGGAGGGTACAGTCATAGATTAAGGAAAAGGGAGGGATAGGAATCCAGGGCTCTGCCTACTCTGTGGATCCTGAAAGTCCTCCAAGACACCCCAGAGTGGAGGGATAGAGGCAAGCTGGAAATGTTGGTTGGGGGGCACTTCCTGCCAAGAGCCCTGAAGGAAGCTGTCTAAGTCGGAAAAGGGAGGCCACACCCTGCAACTACAGGAACAGGCAGACACCAGCAGAATGAGGTGGCATAGGGCGAGTCAGGGAGCAGGAGGACACAGATGGGTGCCCTGCACCAGGCCCTTCTGAAGCTGCTGTCAACAAAAAGAGGTCACAGGACAAGTCTGGGCAAAAGTGGTCCAACACAGGCTGAAGAGGAAAGTGGGGAGACCTGAGAGGAGAGGGAAGACAGACTTGACCTTGTCCAATCAGGTGACCACTTGCTACATGCAGCTGTTTAAATTAATTGAAATTACATAAAATTGAAAATTCAGTTCCTTAGTTGCACTAGTCGCATTTCAAATGTTCGATAGCCACACATGATTAATGGCTCCAAAGGGGTCAACATGGAATCACAGCCCCTCCTGCTCGGGCTGGTGGACCTGCCAATTTCATGCTACTCCCAATGACCTGAATTTGGGAGGAAAGGGCCCTGAGAGGAGCCCAAATAGGAAGAGGTCCCCTGAGCCCTGAGCAGCTGATGTGGCCTGGCTCCTTACCTTTGACAGTCCTGGGTGGCTGGAGCCCATCGTGCCCTGCGGCTGTCCCTCCAGCCAAGAAATCTTCAAAGGGTTATCAACCAGGCCAACTTCATTCTGGACAGCTAGCTCCTGCCAAACAACATCCAGTCCTGGTGCCATCCATCAATCAACTATCAAGTGTCTCTCTTTACCCCCACAGTAAGAATAGAACCAGCACTCTAGTCCTCCCAGCAGAGCTGGGCAACCTCAACCTTCATGTGATAGTGTGCTGAAGCCTTGACCCTTCTCGTGGGAGAGTGGGCGGGGGGGGAGTTGCACCCTCTGATTTACAAGGAGGAGCATGGTGTGGGAAGGAAGGGGGGACTCACAACCTCGAGGGGAGCAGGGGGAGGGTGTAGAGCCAGCCAGCAGCAGAAGAAGAGTCACTCTGTGTCCCCTTCCTCCCCAGAGCATTCTCCTATCCATCCCTTCACACACTGCTTCTGTTCCCAGGGGTCAGGGGTCTCTGAGGGCAGCCTTGGCTCTGAGCTGGTCCAGAGATCCCCTGGGAGTGTGGGTCACCTAACTCAGAAGGCCCACAGAATTGAGTTCCTGCCCTAGAATGACAGGGCGCCCGTGGCACCCCACCCTCGTGCAACACTCACCGCAGCTTTGACAGTTGCAAACTCCACCACCGCGGTGCCTGCCTTTTTACTGGAAAGCACCAGGTTGAGAACTTCACCATACTGTGGGGACAAGAGGGTCTCAGTAAACATGGCTCAGCCTTCAGGATGGCCCAGCTTGTGCCAGAGAAAGCCTGGGCTGCCTGGAGGACCACTGGGCCATTTTCAGCTTGGGGATAACTTCTTATTGCTAGAGCCCCAGAGAAGCAAGATCAGAGATGGAAAAGAAAGACGTTTTTTATCTAGGAATGCAGAACAGCAAACGACAGATGAGTGAAAGATGGGGACTCAGACTGTCATAACCGCCCAGCTGTCTCAGCTGGGTGAAAGCGGTCAAGAGGATGGGCTTTTGTGCCAGACACCCACCTCCTCTCTCCCAACACATTCAGCCAAGCCCCTTGCTTTGAGGGCTTGACCTAGCACTGAAGGAGAGACCAGGCTGGAGGGGACACATGGCAACACAAGTGACTGGAGGACCATCACCGGGGAGAAGTCTCTAAGCTGTCCTATGGTCTATGAGATAGCAAAAGGGGGAAAAAAAGCAGGCAGAGATGTTCAGGCATAGAGAGTCCTGGGGTTCAGGATGAGACGGGGCTGAGATGACAGGAAGAGAGGGTGTCAGCAGGGCAGACCTTTCGCAAAAGCCGCAAGAGGACATCTTTGGAGTAGCCACCTTTTGACTTATCCTCCGTCTTGCACTTCCATTTTAGCTGAAAAGACAGCATCATTAGACTCTGACCTTTGGCTAAACCATGCCAGACCCCACAACTGAGCTTCACAGTCCAAGCAGACCCTCCTAGTGACCAAGGCACCTGTCATCTAGGAAGCACCACCAAAAGCATGTTTTCACCTCAAAAACTAATAGGCAGGGCATCTCTCACCCGCAGGGTGCTCCCAGCCCCATAAGATACTCTCCTTAGAGGGCTTCTAGAGATGCTTGCCCTGCACTCGCCAAGGCTAAGAGCAGGCTTTCCTGGCAAGCTCTGGGAAGCATCCTAGTCTCTAGGTGGCTGGAGGATGGAAAGGATGTTGCAGCAGGGCCAGCTCCCCTCAGAGGTCCAGCATCCCCGCCAGAACCCCTCAAGCCACAGACAGCACCTGTTCTTGCTGGGAGGAGGGCTTGAGAGGTGGCCCACAGATCCCACCCTGGCTCACCTTTAGTTTAGGGGTTCCTTTGCCTTCAGCATTTTCTGCCTTTCCTAAAAATATTGGAAAAATTAGAAAGGTAGAATAGGAGGGAGTCAGTGGTTCTCCCAAAGGTGATGCAGCTCAGAGCCAGAGGACTTAGAAAAGGTTGTTCCTGACCAAGGGCAATATCTGCCCTGCTCTGGTGGAGAGAGTAGATGCTATCCCATCCCTGTCCCCAGAGCAGCAACTGCCTAAGAAGCTCTCTAAAGGAGAGTATCTTATGGGGCCAGCTGCCCAGCTGCCTTCCAAAGGTCACCAGTTAGCATTCTCCAAGTGAGGAGGTAGAAACACCTTCTGGGGGGCAGGAGGCAGAGATACAGACCATACAGTTATACTGAAAGTATCCCAGGGCCTTTCCCCCTGGTGATCTGCACCAAAATAGAGCCACCTCTGCTTGGGACAAAGACAAATGCAGCCAGGAGATCTCAGGCAGATGAAAAAGCAAATAGGCCCCAGAGAATTGGTAGAAAGAGAGGATAAGTGGCATGTATCAGAGTAGGGTGCCCCTTGGATTCCGGCAGGTGAAAGCCTCCACAATACCTCCACCAAAAAGCCAGTGTGTGGCCGCTCTGGGCAATCTGGAGCTGCCATGGCAGGGGAGACAGGTGGGTGTGATCAACTCTCACCTCGTAACCTCTGGTCCCGTTCCTGGTTTATCTGCTCCTGGATCAGCCTCTGCTGTTCCTCCAGCTGCCGGGAACCCTCTTCCCGTAGGCGTTCGATCTGCAGAGCAGGGGGAGGGGGGTGGGTGGAGGGGTGATAATTCTGTGCAGATCCAATTTCAGGTTGGCTCACCTTGCAAAGGTCCCTGGGAGATTCCACCTGCAAGCTAGGGCTCAGCAACCTGTGGGTGGGACAAATTACCCAGATCCCAAGAAGGTGGAAAGACCATGCCTCCCCCAGCCACCACAGCCACCCAGGGCCATCCTCTCCCTCCTCCTGCAGACAGCCCTGAGGCCAGTGTGCCTGGATGTTCACCTCTTGCTCCAGTGTCCTGGTGTTCCGACTCTCCTCCTCTTCCTCACTCCCCTGGGCCTGGGCCTGCCGCTCCCGGGCCTCCAGGTCTAAGCACAAGGGTTGAATGACCCAATTGTTGGTCTGCACAGTTTCCACATGGCCTCAGCGCATCCTATCTCTGGCTGCTCCCTCAAAGTCTCATACAGGACAAGACTGTATAGTAACTCAGCCCCCTCCCCCAACGAACACATGCACCCCCGCCCCTGTGCCCCCAAGTTCATTTCCATTGAGAAAAGTCATAGTCATGGGCTCCAGCAGAGTGGCCAGGGTTCGGAAGAGTTAAAACAGCTCACATTGACCCTGGTTCTCTCCTGTCAGTGAGCAGAGTGCAGGTGGGTGCTTATGTCAGCAGCCCAAGGCCGTGTGTCAGGAATGCCAGTGGGTGGAGCTGCTGGCCTCTGTTTCTGTGGTTTGGCACCACAGCCTGACCTGGGGCCTTGCCTTGGTCTGATTCTTTTCCCACCACTGAGCTCAAGTTCTCATTGTCTCCTTTCCCTTCCCCCCAACTCATATTTACCAAGCCTTACTGTGTACTACAGAGGCTCCTGCAGAGACTGGCAGATTGTGGGAGGGCATCAACCCAGGTTCCAGAGCACTTCCCACCTTCCAAGGGCAACTTGCTTGCGGCTCTGTGCCAGGCCAGCTGCTGTGACAAACCCTTCTCTCAGGCCTGGAACTCACTGCTTTCCTTTCCATGCACTTTACTTACCTAGAACCTCCATTCTTCTTTTTTTTTTTTTAAAGAGAAATGGATGTATTGGGATGGTATATGCACATATTAAAACATATGGATACTGAATAAGCAAGAAAAAGGGGAGAGAATTTGAGTAAAGAATGCCTGGATCAATCTTACTAGGTTGATGAAAATGTTCTAAAATTGATTTACAATCACAGGTGCATCATTTGGTAAATTTACTAAAAATCATTGAATGGTACACTTGAAATGGATAGATGTAATAATATGCAAAGAAAACTTTGATAAAGTTGTTTAAAAAGAAAAGAAAGACTTGACCTTTTTGAACCCTTCTAAAGAAGCTTCTCAGAGTGAACGCTCTGGGCAGAAATGAGGCTGGAATGAATAAAAAAACCCAGCCTGGTGTGGCGAATGAGAGCACCAAATTTACTCACACTGTATGAGTTTAAACCCCAGTGCCAGCAAGTTCTTAAACTTTTGGCACCTTAGCTTCTTTGCCTATAAGAAATGGGTTTAGTAGTACCCACCTCCTTGGATAGCTGTGATAATTAAAGGAATCAATAAAGCATTTGTCAATGCTTAGCTAATAGTGAATCTAGTAATTGTTTTTATTCCTAAGAATGTCTTTAGGATCCAACCTCTAAGAACAGAGTTCTGCCCAGAGCCTGGCCCAAAAGGCTTTGGGTTGCTGGAAGAAAAGCTTCAGGAAAAAACCCGAAGGAAATGAATGAAAATGGCCAAGGTCATCCAGTGCTATGATGCCACCTACCAAGCTTCACTTTCTTCCTTCTCTCATCAAGTTTCTGGGTCCTCTCTGCTGCCTGCTTCTTGGCTTTCCAGACCTTGTCATATGCAGCCTGGCAGAAGAAAGGAACACAGAGCAGCAGGTCAGCCAGAGAAAAGGGACAGAGCCCCAGCAATCTTCTTGGCCCCTGCCTCCTAGCCCCAGAGCCATCAGGGCCACAGCCTGGTGACTGGGTCTCCAGGGTTTAGACAACAAGGACTGTACCACATGGCAGAGGGCAGAGGACTGAGGCTGAAGGGCAGCAGTGGTCTGTAACAAAGGGCGACAATTCAGATAAAGGAGGATATGCTTACCCTGGCTGCAGCATCAGTCAGTACCTCCAAGGCCTGAGAAAGCTGGTGGAAGAGTTCAGCTAAACATAAGGATAGGAAAAAAAAAAGGAGGGGGGGAGAAAAATAAAGTTAGTTTTAGTGATAGTACGCTCCCTCAAAAAAGCACTTCACGGGGCCGGCCCAGTGGCGCACTGGATAGTGCGCCGCTTGGGAAGCGCGGCAGCGCTCCCGTCCGAGGGTTCGGATCCCACGTACAGACCGGCTCCCGCTCACTGGCTGAGCGAGGCGTGGGAGCAACGCCGAGGCTTGCGATCCCGTCGCCGGTCCCCGGTCCGGCACGGGGGCAACACTAAGGGTTGCAATCCGTTGCCGGACCCGGAAAAAAAAAACAAAAAAAAAAAAAAAAGCACTTCAAAGAAACCATAAGATGGCAGAAAAGATGACATCAGCCAATGACAGCCCAGTAAGGAAAGATGAGCACATTAACAAGTGACCTAACATTTGAAGTGAAGCCCTGGGACCCACTGTCCAGAGCCAGGCCATGTGTGTCTACGCTCCACTGCACTCACACTCAGAGCTTACTTAGAACAGGGAAGCCCAATGCCCTGGTACGTGGGTCTCTTTCTCCCCATTCCCTGAGGAGAGTCTCACCTGCTCTGGGATTGTCCGGATTTTTGTCTGGGTGGCAGGAGAGGGCCTTCTGCCTATATGCCTTCTTTACCTGGAAAAGTCAGAGATATGGTCATTTACTCTCTCATTCCAGGGACAAATAGGTAAACCCTGCTAAAGTGATAAGGGAAATCCCATGCCCACCTAAAAGAGAGGCTGCTGGCTCCCACTTCTCACAGTCATGGTGGGGATTTGCAAAGGAGGAGGCAAGGCCATGGAGGGAGCCAGGCCTACTTCCTGCAGATGTCAAAGGGTTCCTGGAAGAGGTACAGCAGGAGCCCAGCATCCTGGTTCCTCCATAGCCACTTGCAAACAGGTACTCTCTACCTACTCTCAAGGCATGTAAACTGGGGCAACCTTTCTGGAGGAAAATTTAGCCATCAGATTTTAAAATGTACTTTCCCTTTGATGCAGTCCTAGGAATTTGTACTTGTAGAAGTATGCCAAAATTAATATACAAGGATGCTCACTGCAACACTGTTTATACTAATGCCCCTCAGGAACCAGCCAAAATCTCCATCAACAGGGAGACCCATTTAAAAAATTATAAGACAACAGTCTATGTGCTGACACAGAAATATCTCTAGGGTGGAGTGAACGAAAAAAATCAAGGCTCACAGCAGTGTGTATAATATGACCACTTTGGGGTTTAAAAGAAAAATAAAATAAATAAGTAGTTACAGATACTCAGGCAAGTGCATATTTGTCATTTCATTTTTTTCTCAAAGCAATCATAAGAAACTTAACAGTGGTTTCCTTTGGAGAGGATGAGTGGAGGGGAAGGAAGCATTTACTTTTCATTTTATAGTTTTCTGTAGTTCAAATTTTTCAAACCTTAAACAGGTCTTATTTTAGTATCATTTTTTACTGTCAACAGGGTTTATTTTAGTGGGGAGATTGAAGTTCATTTCCAGTTTTCATCTTCATACCTCTCTGTATTAAAAAGAAAAAACCCCATGGGCCGGCCCGGTGGTGCACTGGAGAGTGCGCCGCTTGGGAGCGCTGCGGCACTCCCGCCAAGGGTTCAGATCCCATGTGGAGACCGGTTCCCGCTCACTGGCTGAGCGCAGCGTGGACGCTACACCGAGGGTTGCAATTCCGTTGCTGGTCCCCGGTATGGGCGCGACACCGAGGGTTGCAATCCCGTTACCGGTCAGTANTACACCGAGGGTTGCAATTCCGTTGCTGGTCCCCGGTACGGGCGCGACACCAAGGGTTGCAATCCCGTTACCGGTCAGTAAAAAAGACAAAAAAAAAAAGGAAAAAATAAAATAAAATAAAGAAAAGAAAAGAAAAAAACCCCTAATATTTCTTATATCAGTAAAAATAAACAAACATAGCTACCAAGATTCTCTTTCATGTATTACCTACATAGTTGTTGTAAATGAAGACAGAGTACAAAATCCCTGAATCTGTCCCCTGCTTTCTGAGGCCTTTGTCCCCACACTTCTGTCCTGCACATGTTACCAGCTGCTCAAACCTCCCGGGAGGAACAGCTAAGCAGGTGGGCTGGCCATGCTTCTCAAGTGGAACCAAAAAACACTTCTTTGTCCAAGTATGCTAAGTAAGGTCCTTAGAGGCAAAGCGGCCAGCACCTGCCAGGGGAGGGCCTGCTGGGCAGGTGCCTGACTCAACTCCTCCCTCTAGGAGGCAGCCACCTAGCCCAGGACCTTTGGGGTGTGCTGCCACCTGCTGGGCCATGGCCAGCACCACACCTTCACCAGCCAGGGCAACCCAAGCCCAGCTAACTTCTCCTGGAGCTAGTGCCACAGGAACCCCTCCCAGGATAGGCCTCGGGCAGTGTGGATGTAGATGCGCCTCCCTGCCCTCCCACCTTCCCAATCGCCTACCTATGCACACCAGGCCCTCCTGCTCTCCTCCCCTAGCTCTGTTTTCACTATTTAAAAATAGCAATAAGGAAAGAAGAGGTGACAACTTTATACACAGTCTTACATTTGCAAAATCATCTTTACTCTTAGGTCATGTATCATTCCTCTTTTCTCCCTTTTGCTGTCTTTTGCCTCCTCTACTATGCCCCCAGCTTCATCTCCTTTCTATTTTAAAACAAGACTTTATTAAACATTTTTTATATTTTAGGGCCTTTTATTTGCTTTTTTCAATAAATAAAACAATACAAACATATAAAAAGAGAAAGTTTAAAAGCTTATCTTCCCCCATTTCCCAGCCCTCTCTTCGATGTCCTGATGGTAACTGGATGGTAGGTCTCCGTCTATTCCTCCCTCCTTGATCATTCCAACACGCACTTACAGTAGTCCATAAGTTTTGGGGTTTTGTTCCTGGCCTCTCTACCCCCATCTGCCTCTGATCCCATCTCCACCCTCTCTGACATGGGCAAGTAGAAGAGGTGGGGGAAGGAGCCACTGTCTTCGAGGTGGCCCATCTCTCGGGTCTCCATGGCCTCAAACTTGCAACACTGCCCTGGGAATGAACTTCCTCAGCACTAGGATTAGCAGACGAGCCCTACCAATGTACGGGGATTTCGTGGAAGATTTTTTCTTTTGTATCATGGGGCTCTTTTAAAGTGGTTCATATGTTTTTTGTGACTCTAAGAGGGGTAGGGAGGGAAAAGAGTAAGAAGGAGCAGAAAGAAAGCAAGACAAAAAAGGGCATGGGAGTGGTGCCTCCTTCATTTTCTTTCCCTTTTATTTTTCTTCAGAGAATGCCTTATGGGTTTTATTCTAAAGGAATGATACCAAATATTGTTTTGTGTTTTATAATTCATTTTGGATGTTCTATATCAGAAAAAATTTTTTTCATTTAAATAGGAAAACAAAATTGTTCAAACTGTAAAAAATTATTAACCAATGAGAAATTAATCTACATTGCAAGTAGTACAACTACATTACACCATCTGGGTGAACCCCAACCTATCCCTCACCCCTCCAGCCTCCCACACTCCCAACATTTACAACCAAACACAACTGCCCCAGTCAACCTGATGTATCCTGGACCCCAATTCCTCAAGGCCTGGCTTGTGCCTCAAATTCTAAACCACCTTTTAAAAGTATAGGGGCTGAGGAGAAAATTATGTTAAGAGAAATACACCAGGCACAGAAAGAGAAATATAGCATGTTCTCATATGAGAAAGCTAAAGAAGTTGATCTCATAGAAATAGAGAGGAGAGTGGTAGTTACCAGAGGCTGGTATAGGTAGAGGGGAGGGAGGATAGGAGAGGGTGGTCCATGGACACAAAATTGCAGCTAGATAAGAAGAATAAGTTCGAGTATTCTACAGCACTGTCGGGAGACTACAGTTAACAACAATTTAGTGAAAACAAAACAAAACAAAACAAAACAAAAAACAATTTAGTGTAAAATTTCAAATAGCTAGTAGAGAGGATTTTGAATGTTCCCACACCGAGCTGGCCAGTTGGCTCAGTTGCTTAGAGCGCTGTGTTGATAATGCCAACGTCAAGGGCTCGGATCCTCTTAAAAAGAAATGATGGGGTGGTGGATACGCTACTTACCATTGTACACATGTGCCCAGATATTACAGTGTATCCCATAAATACCAGGGGTCTTCAAAAGTTTATAGAAGCGTTCACCGCCTCTCCCACTGGTCCGATGAGCCGCAGCGGCGGCCCCAGCGCCCGCCCCAGCGCCCAATGTCTCGGCAACCCAGGTATCAGCTCCCGCCACGCTGCCCGCCAGCCCCGCCAGCCCCACGGGGCCTGTAGGGCGGCCTGGGGCTGCAGCCGCGGCTGGGGGTGGGACCACGGCTGCGCTGGCCGGGACCGGCTGAGCCTCCGGGGGCGGCTCAGTGTCGGCAGGCTGCGCCTCTGAAGGGGTGAAGGGGTGGAGCTGCCCAAGGACTTGGGGACCAAACCCCCACACCAGTGTGCAGAGGCAGTCGAACACGGAATCAAGGTACCTGATTCGCCAGCCTTGAGATTTAATGCCTGCCCTGCTGGGTTTCGGACTTGTTCGGGACCTGTCTTTCCTTTCTTTTGGCCTATTCCTCCCTTTTGGAATGGGAACGTATACCCATGGGAATGTTCCACCATTGCATCTTGGCAGTAGATAAATTTGGTTTTGTTTTTCAGGTTCACAGCTGGAAGGACTTTTGCTTTTGGTATCAAATGATACTTTGGACTTTGGACTTTTAAGTTGGTGCTGGAGCAAGCTAAGACTATTGGGACTGTTGGGATAGAATGACTGTACTTTGTATGTGACAGTGACATGAGTTTTGTGGGACCAGGGGAGGAATGATGGAGTTTGGATGTGTTGTCCCCTCCAAAACTCATGTGGAAATTTGATCCCCAATGTGGCAGTGTTGGAAACTTGATTGAGTCATGGGGGCAGATCCCTTATGAATGGATTAATGCTCTCCCTGGAGGAAGGGGGATTAATGAGTGAGTTCAAGCTCTGTTAGTTCCCATGAGAGCTGGTTGTTTAAAAGACCCTGGCACCTCCTCTCTCTGACGGAGATGCGCAGCTGATGGTGTCCAAAATGCCTCTGGTGCACTTTCTGATGCAGCTGGAGGACTACACCCCTGTGACCCCAGAGTCGGTGGCTACCTGATCCGTTCTGGCTGTGAGGCCTCAGACCATGCATAATTTGGCTCATCTCCCTACCTACCTAGAAATTCATCTCAGACATGGCCCTACAGCACTGCAAAATGACACTTTCTGATGCAGCTGGAGGACTACACCCCTGTGACCCCAGAGTTGGTGGCTACCTGATCCGTTCTGGCTGTGAGGCCTCAGACCATGCATAATTTGGCTCATCTCCGAGGAGTTCTCCAAGCAGAGAGCATGAAAAGGCATTCGAAACAGAGGACATAAAAGAGCCTGGATTTCTCTTCAAGCCCCAGACCAGCTTAGAGGAGAAATAGAAAAATTTTGCTTCAATGAGGAAAAAGTACTGAGAACAGAAAAGGACATGGTTGTAATAAAACATGAAAATAAAAATAATGTTTTTTGTCAAAGGATGTTTTTGGTTAATTAAACTTCAATCAAAGAAAAGTAGAAGAAAATTGTAGGGAAAGAACAAATTCATACAAACAGATTTTAATGCACAGACTTGGGATGA